ACCCAGTCCTTTCAGTAATACAATGTATCTACTGATGGCATATTTCCAAAATGACGTAGGGATAACTGCAGGTAATGTTTTAACTTCTCTTTGAAATCTTGAAACCGAGAAGAAAGCAGCCTGCATTCAAATGTTAAAAAGTAATGGGCCATTTCTGCTCGGTCTCATGTGAAACGTAATTAACCTTTAATAACTTTCTTAAAAAAAAAAAAAAAAAAAAAGGAGCACCAACTTTCAACGGCTTTATTTGAGAACATAAAATGTCATGTCACTGAAAAATGATGGCTTCAACCCATTCATTGAGTCTGGAAGTAAAACAAATCTGCATAATTTTCTGTTGTTGTTTTTTTTTTTCTTTTTACCTGTCAGATGTTCACCTAATCTGAGGCTGAGAGGCTGCAACTCTGAGGCGAGGGCCTAGAAAGGAGTGGCATGACTCAATGATTTATAAAGCTGAATAATTCAATGGCTGTATGCATGTAGAGCACTCCGCCCCTGCTGAACCCGCTCTTCCACAACCCAGTGGCACATCTCCAGGCAAACCTCTGCAAGCTGGGTCCACACCGCACGAACAACAGACGGACGGGCAAATTCACGCCGTGGCTGCAGCGCGGGTCAAAAGTGCTTTTCTAGACATCGCTCCAACACACCTGAACCAAATGACTGAATTCTTTCAACAACAAGACATTCAGGTGATGAGACAGTCATTTGATTGAGAAGTTGTAGGACAGCAGCTCTAAATACAGACTGGGCACATGAACGCAAATTACTCGTCACTGAACAATAAAAGTAATACTGAGAAGGGGCTGTTTGTGTTGGAAGAGAAGGGTTTGTCAACTGGTGGAAATGTAAATCCAATGTAACCAATGATCCTCATAAACTGTGGAGCGTTTGGATATTTCAAGATCTCGTTCAATCATCAAAGAGCAAAATATATATTCTAAATATGTTATTGTATTTTATCATTTTGAGTAAGTAAGGCAACTGGATCTCCATAAAGAAAATATTTACCTGTTTATCTGTTTTCATTACCATCTTCCATGCTGCCTTTAAAAAAAATATATATATATATATTTTATAGCTGAATAGATTTATGGCTCACTGTCTTCAAACCAAAAGCTGAAGATTAGGGATAGTGTAGTATTCTGTCATTTGTGTTTAGTATGTTAATATGTCTCATCAAAACAGTCTCTTTTTTCAATGCCCGTCTTCTTGTTCCACTCATATGAAATACAGTATAAAAAGTATTTAACCTCTTGGAGATTTTAACCTTTTATTGCTATTCCAATCAGTCATGACCAACAATTAATTTTAGTCTTGTCAGAACAGATAACTTTTTCTTCACCGGAGTTTGGAGTCTCCCACATGCCTTGATATCAGTTTTCTTCAATTGTTGTCTGATGAAAAACACAGTTGCATGCAGAGTCTCTCCCATCTCAGCTGCTGAAGCTTGTAACTCCTTCAGCGTAGTCAGCCTGACCTGGTGACCTCTCTTATTAGAGTTCTTCTTCCACAGTTACTCAGTTTGTGAAGATGGCCTGATCGAAGCAGATTCACACATGAGCCATTACTTCTATGTCTTGGTGATGGATTTTCAGTGCTTTGGAGATTTTTTTTATATCCATCCCCTGACTTATACTCTTCAATAATGTTTTCTCTGATTCGCTTGGAGTGTTCTTTTTCCTTCATGCTGTAATGGTAGCCAAGAATACTAACTACCTGGAGAAAAACCTTCCAGGCACAGGTGCCTTTATGCTACAATCACTTCAGACAAAGTCACTCCACTCAGGTGGTCACCATTTAACTGATTCTCAGATTGCTAGCACCAATTTGCTGGACCTCTGTTGAATTGGGTCAGTCAATTTAAAGACAAAAGTGAACTCTTGAAGACTGAATCTTGAAACCACATTAAAATATGAGCACATTTACATAACCATATTAGTAAGGCTTTTTTTCGTAGTCAGTTTACATTTTCCTCCAAAGTAGACTTGCTGGTTTTTTTAGTTCTATTGAAGAAGCTAATCATGTTTTTAAACAGAACCAAATGAGTTACAGTAAAAGGTATTCATCTCCCTCCAGTGTTCATAGTGAAGAACTACAGCATAAGTGGGAGAAGACGTAATGTTTTTATAATGCCGTTAACTTGTCATATTTGGTACAATTTCTTGAACGCCTCAAAACAAGAGAGGCGTATACTCAAAAGTTTTGTGTGGTTAAGCAGAGCATACTCACCTAAAATAATAATAATTTTAAAAAAGGCGATGGCGATAAAGTACAAACTCGTAGAATTGCAGAGCAGAGCTATTTGTCTGCTAAAAAACAGCGCTGACTACACGTCCCCTCTTTTTATTTTGAACATAAAATCCACGTTGAAAACCTCGAAGTAGCTTCCTCTATTTGGCAAAATCTGAGTCCTTCAGTTATTGTAGGTTTTCTACTGCAAGACCACACGCCCCACAATGCATTGCGATTCCATCATGGCGCCCCACACGAACGCCTGACAAGCGAAACTAAGCGCTGCTGAAGGTAAACAGTTCTGTTCTTCGCGGTTAACTAGCTAACTTAGCAAGTGCGGGAGAATGAAATTGTTGCTGACGACCCTGAAACACACACGAAACCCAGCTGTTTACCTCTGCCGACGGCGCTGTTCGAGCCCCAGAAGCAGCGGTGGATTGCCATCTCTCCAAGATGATGTGATGGTGGTGGGGTCAAGCCCGGAGCTGGTGCAGACTGTGGGCTCTCAGGTGGAGGTGAGGCCGGGCTTCATCACAGAGGAGGAGGAGGCTGTCCTGCTGCAAGAGCTGGAGCCAGATCTGAGGAAGAAACGCTACGAGTTCGACCACTGGGACGATGTAAGACGTGCTTGCAGCTATTTCAGGGACATGTCAGTAATTTACCACATACCATGAACAATAAAACTTATATGGATTTATCAAACACAGAGTTTCTGATTGTACAGTTGTCCAGCAGACAGTCGTTGGCACCCTCCACCAGAGGGTTAGTCATAGAAGCTCATCGTCAGAGAAGCTGAATGTTCATAGTGACAGCATTATTGAAAGATTGAGTGGAAGGAAAAAAGTGTTGCACAAGTAACACAGATGATATAGTAGGACAGCTTTGCAGGGATTCTGAAGCAAAACCTATGGCCGCCACATTTGGTAGCCCCATCAGTGGCACCTCATTACCAAGTCACACGCATTTTTTTAATGCAGGATTTTAGCGTGCCACCGAGTGAGTCCTTACAAAACCTTTTAGACTAGTCTTTGATAGTATAGGATGTAAATAAATTAGTTTGCATTTAGTTTATACAGAGGTTGTGTTGGATTACCCTGTAATTTAAAACTTCATACAGCCGTTACAGCTTTCTAAAGCTGCTGATCAAATGTTTTTAGTTATTTATTCAAATTAACTGAATTTGATTCTCTCAAAAACCAAGTGGCAAGCAGACAAGTCTTTGGTGTGTCAAAATTGATTGGCTAAACAAGTGCCTCTTGTAATGTCATCAACCCAAGAAACTTATACAGTTCTGAATCAGCAAACTTTCCAATGCTTTTTCTAAATATATTATGCAAAATCATGCATGTATTCTCCATCACTTTTTACTCAGCTGTTATTGTTGCTGTTCATTTGTTAGTGAACTATATAAACATACAGATGGCTTGCACCAAGTATTAAAACGACTTAAGAGTATGTATTTATTTGAAACGTACTGTATATTCATTTGCGCTGTGCTACCTTGTACACGTTCAGGCAATTCATGGCTACAGAGAGACGGAGCGTCTGAGGTGGGCTCCGCCGTGTGAGGAGATCCTGAACCGTGTCCGGTCTGTGGCGTTTCCTCGGGGGTCTCCTCTTCTGGGGCCCGTACACGTTCTGGATTTGGACAAAGCTGGCTACATCAAGCCCCACGTCGACAGTGTCAAGGTACCCCTCTTATCGCATCGCTGTGATGTTTTGTTACGAGCTGGTCTCTTAATAGTTATTTCTCTCTTCTTGTTTTCAGTTTTGTGGCAGCACCATTGCTGGTTTGAGTCTTTTATCTGACAGCATCATGCGTTTAGTAAAGGAGAATGAGCCAAGTGAATGGCTGGATCTGCTGCTGACTCGCCGTTCCCTCTACATACTGAGGTCCAATGGGATTTTGTATTAGAAATTGCCTGATTATCAACATACCAAGTTTAAAGGACAGTTTGTCATTTATTTTCGTCTTGCTTGCACAGGGACCAGGCCAGATATGACTTTACTCATGAGGTCCTTAAGGATGAAGAGTCGGTGTTCAACGGACACAGGGTGCCGCGGCAGCGCCGGATCTCCGTTATCTGTCGTAACCTTCCAGGCTAACGAGTTCATGCTCTCCGTTAGAATAAGAGCATAATGTAGACAGGTTAAAGAAAATCTCTTAACCAGGTTATATTGGGATATCAAAACCAAAACAACCTGCTTTGACTGAGTTGGAATGAAATTATATTTATATAATACCATCATTCTGATGTGTTTTTCTCTTTCTGTATAATACAGACACTCTTTTGGAAGTATTGAAACAACTTTTCATCCAAAAGTAATGTTTGAAAAAATTTTTCAATATGTAATTATTTTAAAACAATAAATGTTGACAGACCTCCATCCAGCTGTATTATTTTTTTTAAATAACTTGGTTGACTGGTGGATAAAGTAGTTTATATATATATATATGGACTATAAGCTGACAGTGCTACAAGTGCTCAGCAATATTTCAAAAATAAAATTACTTTAACATCTAATTGTCAACTGTAATTTAATATTTAAAGTTAAAACAACCACAGAGCAGAGACACTTGACCTCTACAAGTAGGAACAATATTAAAGCATGATGTTGCTACTCATAATTTCCTTATTTTGTATATTTAATCCAAATTATGTTTTTATTGTCCTGCAATATCTGGACTGTTTTAAAAGTGAACTAAAACATGCAGGGCTGGTGTGACCATCTTCAGGAATTTACGTGGCAAGTCTTAGACTCAGTTATGTACATCTTACCATCTTTATTGTAGCATAGTTGTATAAAATTTAATATCACAATTTCCAGAAATACTAATTTAATTACAAACATCCCTGATATTTTGCAGCTGTAAAAACACCACATTCATCTGATATGCTTAAATGCTAGATGTAGACTTTTATCACTGTTGATTTTATATATTCCTTTCCATTTAATTCTTGTATATAGATTTGTAGAAATATTCGACATTATGCAACACAATCAAATGAAAATGTATATCGACAAATCACAGTGACAAACCAGTTAAGTTTACATTTTATTATAAAGTCTTGACTTAGAAAAAAAAAAAGATTGACTAATTTTCTACTTGCAGTTGAAAACATTGTGTTTACTAACACATTACCGTGAATTCAGGCTCATCTACATTAACAAAGTTCAACAAAAATATTTTAGTAAATCTACTCCTCACACAGCTGATGACAGCTGGTGCAGCATGTGTAAGCGAGCACAAGATTTGTTACACTTTCTGTCCGGGGATCAGGAAAAACACTTCTTTACTATGGTTTTGTTATCATTCCTACCGCTGTCTGGCTGCTTACTCTGTGAGGTAGAAGTGCATTTTGTCATTGACCATCTTGCGCTCTGGATTGAGACGCTTCAGGATCTGAGCGAGCACGTTGACCGTCTGCTCGCTGCTCAGACCTGTGCGCTTGGTCTGGAACTTTTTCAGCAAGTCTTTGGTGGTCATCGGCTTACGGATCAGGTAGCGGCGCACAGCTTCCTCCGTCAGCTGCACGTCACTGTGGGGAGAATTTTTTTGCAAGTTGTTGTATCCAAGATTACATATTAGTAGTTCATTCATTAGCACCTAATATTTAGCATTAGGTCAGTGATTCTTATGCTTCGTTTCAGGCCCAAAAATCTATTTTTTTGCGTTAAAAGTAGGTCATACCTTGAGCTTGGAGTGGATTTGCCAGATGGGGGTTGAGGTGTGCTCTTCCCAGAGGGGACAGGGCTCTGACTGCTGGGCTCCATCTTGAGCCTTTTGGCTGCTGGAGAGTCAGTACCTGCAGTCTGGATTTGTCTCTTCCCTGATGACAAATGGATCAGTCTTCATCATAGGCAAACTAACACAGACATCCAAATCTCTGTCGTGTGTCTCATTTCAATTTGTGTTGGTTGGGACATTTTTGCTGATTCACAAGCGCACACCTTGCTCCAGTTTGCTGGCAGCAGCACGCAGCGTGCTGGAGGTGGAGGCGGAGTCTATGGATGGCGTCCCAGGACGACTGCCCGTCCTGGAGCTGCCTGCAGAGCCGCGTCCACCAGGCCGCTTGGGAGGGGTGCGCTTCTTCTGCGAGGAGAAACGTTAAAGAGACGTTTCGTAAGAATAAAAGTAAACATGTAACAATAGTGTAAACATAAAATAATTCACACATTCACATCTGCAAACTTAGAATAGCTCCAAATACTTCCAGCAACACTTGCGCACTGTCAATGGATTACTGTCAATATTCAATATAAGTGTACGAGTCAAAAAGTAGATAATTGATTTGGAAACTCATAACCAGTTTTTCTGCCACACACACTTTAGCTACCATGAACAAAGCAGAAGCAGTCTCTCCTTCGATGTCGCTGTCGTCAGAGCTGTCTGATTCGCCACTGCTGTCTACGACACAAACAATACAATGTCACTCAACATTTGTCAATATTTATGTCTTTTACAAAAACCTTGAAGAAAAACCCTTGCAGGGTTTCACCTTTTTTCTTCTTCTTTTCCATCTGGACCGGGGTTTTCTTCCCTTCCTCTTCCTCCTCCTCCTCTTTAGCTTCTTCTTCATTTTGTTTCTCCTCTTCACTATCTTCCTCACTCTCGGACGCCTCATCGATTCCTATACGTTTAATTATTTTAGTAAAAAAAAATAAAAAAATTGTAATTCCCATTCACAGTTTTAATTAACAAATGCATTAATTGAATCCATCATCTGAGGCTTTTTGTGACTTTGTCGCCGTCATTAGTCGTTACCTTTGGGGTGCTCTTCTGCTTTGGATGGCTTTTCATTTGTTGGCTCTTTGTCTGAGCTGATAGGGGCAAAGAAAGAAAAGAACATATTAACACAATTAATAAAATATAAACTCAAAATACTTCATCCCTACAACCGATGACTGTTGTGACGGTGGTGCTTCAGAATGAGGAAACGGCTCAAATCAGTATTAATATGCTGATGTAAAGTTAGAGATGGCAACGTAAATAAACTGAGAGCCATTTATGGCATGGGAAAGTGTTACCCCAAGTCACATATTACTCTTAACCTCTAAACAGATTTCTGTTCATTTAGGTATGGAATCAACAACTGATTATTTTTGGACATTAAAGAAAAACCTAATAGAATAAAAAATAAATAAAAATAAGTGACCAACCTGTGTTTTAAATAAAAATATTAAGGAGCAATTTTTATTTTAAGACTGATTTATTGAAGTTATGTTTCTTTCTATTGCATATCTGATTAGCAATAAATAAATAAATAAAAAGCATTCACTTCTTTTTGCTTTGGATTTAAAGCAAAGATACCACAGATAATAATTAGTCCATCCTGCTACCGGGAACGTCAAACTCATCAACAATATATTGACAAAGATGCTTTTCAGCATCTGCTGTTCAAATTAGTATCTGAATAACTTCCCTTACCTTCTATATTTTTCTGTTACATTATCACCAAATATATTAGAGATGTAAATAGTCTAAATGCATGGCACTTCATTCAATAACTAACATTAATTGGAGTTTAGGCAGTGTTTTGTGATATGCATATTGTATTTCGCTGCGATGCTGTGATAAGGATAGATCAGTGATGTATTGTGCATACATTTTCTACTTTTATTTAGATTTTATATCATGATGTCTAGAATGGTGGTTTCTGGTCTGATCTGCATTTGTGTCATCTTCCCAAATAAATGTTTAAAAGTGGCGTGGTGCTTTTTTCTGCCACCAGGAGGCGATCTCAGAAATGTGTCATCTGACATGAGAGTCTTGTTTGTGATGCTGGGATGGTAAATAAAGGGAATCTCAGTGATCTGACCTGCTTTCCTCTGACATATAATCCACTTCCAGACCCTCATAATCTCCATCATCGCTGTCTTCAAGGGCTTCCTTATCATTGCTCTTTTGCTTCTTCTTCTTTGATTTCCCTTTTCCTGTGGCTTTTTTTGTCTTTGCCTTGCTTTCTCCATCTGTTACATGAGAGGGCCCGAAAAACAGAAGACATGCTCAACAATTTGGATTAAAACAGACAGAATATTGATAAATATGAAGGTTTGCAATGTGTTCAGTTGAGGGAATCCCACTGTTCCTTACCTTCTCCCATGCTGCTGTCACTGTCATCACTGCTCATCTCAAGGTCATCATCTAGGTCGTGAATGAGAAGGTCGCCACCCTTACTGCCCCCCTTCTTTTTCTTCTTCCCACCCTTTTCTGTCTCGTCTTCGTCGTCGTCACCACGCTCCTGCTCCCGGAGCCGTCTCTGAAGCATAATGCTGAAGTGGTTTACGACCTTGTTCCGTCTGTAAAAGGAGAGAAATGTGGTTTTTCATGCAAGTATACATTTATTTATGTACTTTAAAAAAAATGCTTTCAACTTTCCATTTCAATTCATTCCCTCACGTACCTGCCCCACTCTTCTTCGGCTTCTTCAGCGGTTAGCGTTCGATGCTTTGCCTGCTGTGTAAAGTTATACCACCCATGAACTGGAAAGGCTTCAAAAGCTCCATCTGGACACTGGGTAAAAATGTAGTAGGATGCATTTTCTGTAACTCCACCTTTCTTTATACCCTTAAACCTGAAAAAAAAAAAAACAAGAAAAAAAGAGTAAAACAATAAAACAGGTAGAAAACCATAAAACGTTAGAAAAACTCCTATAGGGATGCATAATAGGTGCAGAAATGCATCTCACGTGTTTTAGAAAAAATACATTGTGACAAGATTAAGAGGAAAAAAAAAGACACTTTGAAAAATTGCTCAGCATTTTAACTTCTTACATCTTAAACAAGAGTAACCTGTTTTCTAACCTCTTGCCAGCTTTGCCATTGACTTTCAGGATCCATGGCTGATCCTCCACTTTGAACTCTCGGGTAACAATTCCAAACTTCTTTCGCCGAGCTTCCTCCCGCTGTTTTTTGCCAAACTCGCTACCTGCGCCACTCTCCGGTGTCTCCTCCTCCCCGTATATTCGCCGAGCACTCATGTCTCTTTCCATACGTGCCTGGGAAGGAAGAGAATGGGAAACATAACATTACAAACTCACATTGGAGGAACATTGTAATTCCCCATCATTCTAATATTTTGGTTTCTTGATTTTTTTTTTTTTTTAAATGACTCAATTCTCATACGGAGATATGAAAGCTCACCTGTGTCCAGCTTGAACAGTTGACTCTATCCCCTGCGTTAAAAGCCATTATATTGTACTTTTTGGTCGTATTTCTATAGGAAAAACAGAGATGAAAACAAAACAATATTCAGTTCCATTTTTCTCCGGGTCAGATAAAATCATTATTAGAAGAAGGTAAATCGTATGTTGCTTAGCATCTAGATACACGCTTTCACTACATTTGTTTGTTACTTACTTGGGGACTCTCACAGTGTACTCTGTGGTTGAGGAACTGCTTCCACCCTGTAAAATAAACAGAGGGATGTGTCTAAAACCATGTCACTGTACAAGCTGAAGGTGTTTTTCATTTAGACTTAAAGAGTTGTGAGATGTTCTTAGATTGGACTGCATATGTCAAAGTGGCTAGAAAGAAACAGAAATGTAAATTTGCGTTTTCTGAGAAAAGTCACTACTTACCAGTGACGTCATGGTGAGTGATCTCCCGCTGCGTTTATGAAGAGCTGATTCAGTCTAGTGCAAAACACTAAATTACAAAACCAAAATTTAAAACATTGATATGAGCATGGAATAGTTATTTCTAGACGAAAATAAGACAAGAGTCTCAATACCACTGTCACTTTTTCTAGACCCAAATGATTTGGTATAAAACTAACAATTGAAGCCTAATGTTGCTAAAGCTACGAAAGAAACAATGTTATTATATGACAAGCAAGTTATCAAATGTTATAATCCACATTAAATCAAACTTAACAATACAGCAGCAATGGATAACAGTACGAAATGCTACAAACCCTGACCCTGCAAAAATTAAAAAGGCTTCACCGTTAGCAACAGATGCTAATACAACTAGCACTTGCTGATTAACCAAAACTGTGATGCTATTTGCTGCGTACTGCCCTTAACTTTGCCGTAATTAGTATAATTTTGCTTCCAACTCACTCACCTATACGTGTAACAAAATATAACTCGAGCTTACCAGAGCTTTAGGAAATTATATTGAGCATGTTGGTAAGTGATACAACACTGTGCCGATCAACTCGGTGTAATGTGTTCCGTTTATGAGGACGACTAGAAACAACTAGCCACAAATGGTTCCGAACTAAACCCCCGTCACGGCGTCGACAGTAAGTGCTGCAAAGTTAATCAAACATCAATACATTTGTTCATAATATTTTGTGCTTTTAAATCAGCCATATAAAGAAAATGTCAGGAATTCTATTGACAGGAATCTTTTTTTTTTTTTTTTTTTTTT